TACAGGTACTAGTTAGTCCCGTACACGGTGACAGTTGGGGGTTTTTTGGGGTTGGTGGGGTGTGGTTTTTTTGTTTGGGTTTTTTTTTTTTCCCCCAGCAGCGTATCATTCTGGTAGGCGACCTGGTGGCCGCCTTCCACTTTTCCCATCGTGGTGTCCCCGGCTGCAAGGACCGCTTTAGGAATAAATCTCTTCATAATCCGGTCGGCCAAGGCATGGTCGCATCTAAGAGTAAAGCGCAGCCTTGGAGGTCTTCACAGCAACTAATGCAAACGGTGGAACTGCAAAATGAAATCAGGGTCATCAGGATTTGAATGGAAATGGGCTCTGCGTCTGCCCCGGTACATTCTGAGGGCGGCTCCCAAGACGCGGGATGTTCCTGGGCGAAGTTACTTAGTTAGCTCTGCTATCGATCGGGATGCTCCAAGGGGAATTGTGATCCACAGCCGAAAAACAGAGTTACTGTGCCACAAAAAAAATGCCCCTTTCTGTAGCCGCCCTCTAACGCACACTGGCTTCGGGATTTCACAGGCTGGTATTTTGTTCTGCAGAGCTCTAACTGTGCAAATTCGGATGGCTGACCCCATACGACCGTATTGTTTGATAGGCAGCGTAAAGTTTTGTCTCGTATCTTGAAGTTGAAAGGCTGCAGTTACCGCTCAGCCGCATTTTAAAAGTTTGAAAAACTCTAAGAAAGACGTCTGATTTTAATAAATCACCTCAGGGCTTGCTCAGCTGAGAAGAGGTGGGCTAACGTAAAAAATATCACGGTCCAAAATGAGCCACGTGTTTCCAGGAGCATTTAACGCGAAAAAACATCTCTCTTTAAGCAAACAAACAAAAGAGGCGGTGTGCCGTTCTTTACAAATAAATGAGACAAATTAAATCAGATTGCTGAGAAGGTCGTTTGCCACAGAAAATATTTTGGGAAATTATCGCCATGTGTACTTGAGAAGGGAACAGCTGTTAAACACATTTCTTTATACTTATTTCTGTTCTTAAGTTAAATTAAAAAAATAAACAAACGGTGATGAATTACTTCCAGAGGTTTTTTTTTAAAAAGCAGATGTGTCGATTACAGATAAATTGATTTATCTGTCTAATTAAGCATAATGCTCGGATAAGTGAAACAACAAAACGCACCCTGAGTACCTCCAAAACTCGCTATTACATTTCGTTGCTTGATACTGAGAGCCTGTTCACATGGTTAATAATGATAATGAGGAGTAAACACCATGCAAATGCGGTCTACGGAAATGTCACCGGTTCTCGCAAAAGTACTGAGGACGGAAAATCATTTATGGAAATGACGTAGTCGTGAGACTTCATTGCCTGCTGCTGGGGTGCTCATTAGTAGGAAACCTGTATCCTTAGGCGGGAGGTGTTACTAACGACTGCGTTACTGCACACGTCAGCCTAAAAACTAAACCGGACACCGGGGGAACACTCAACAATTATCCAAATTAATACGGTGCATTCGCTTTCTGGTGGGTGTTCTTTAATCTCAGCCTTTGATTCACTCGGAAATGCGCCCGTAACGGGGCGCACCAAGCCGGTGAAGGGCGAAGTCGCTCCCGGAGTTTTTTGGGGGGTGAGGGGTTTCGGGGGCGAAGCTTTCCACGGGCTTTCCCGGCTTGGTCCCGCCCCGGCAACAGGTGGCTCAGCCCCCGCA